TTGGAAATGTGATATGTTTATCATCTATAATTTTAATATTAAATTCACACATATTACTTATAATATTTTATGTACATCTGTGCATGTGCACAGGATGATAACTAGTATAAATAATTGCTGGCATATAGAATTTAATAAAACATTTAATAAAACCTCCATTCATTTAATTTCCCGCCTATTTTTTCAATTAATGTAGAACCGTTACATTTTACATTAATAAGGTGTAATTATAATTTTAATATAATTTATTCACTACTAACACTAATTGATTACAACTTAACATTAAATAGTATGTGGAAGTTACATACTTATAAAAAATTGTATTGCAATTTTTTTCTTTAAAATACTTTTTCTAAAATAAAATATTTTAATTCTTTTTAAGCGATTTTTATCTGATAAGTTAATTGACATGAGTGTCATAATTAAACACCTTAAAATCACATAAACAAATGCTATAACAATGATAAAAATAATTGTAATACTTTTCTAATTAATTAATTGTATGGTCTCTCTAAATTACTAAATTATATTAGCCATTAAAATTTATGTCATCAATATAAAGATTCGTAAGTAAGTTAAATAAATTATATTTACATTATACATTTGCATGTAGTCCAAATTTAAAATGTAATACATCAATTATTTAACAAAAAATTTGTATATATTGTATACATAAATATAATATATAAATTTTTATTTTTCGTTGTGCATGTGCACATAACATTCCGTAATCCCATCTCCCAAGCCACCAATAGGCCCTGAAATATTCCCCACAACTCAGCTCCTGTAATAGTGCAAACTCCAATGTTAAATAGAAAGCCAATTTCTATTAATGATCTAGCCGATCAGAAATCAAAATTTTGATTGCCCAGATCTCCCGGATTTCCACTATTCTGAAATGTTCATGTAGTATGTAATAAGGGTTAAATCAACTGAGTATTCTTTATTTAAGATTCTCTGTTTTCGATTATCTAATAAATCACTTAATGAAAGTAGATTATCTTTCCGTCCAAAATAGCATATCCAAATTATAAGAAATCCAACCGGTTTCTTTGCCGGTTGTCCACGCGTCATTGGAATTTATAATTCTACAAATAAAAGTATATGTGCATATTCATTTTTTGTCAACCCTAGTCGAAATATCTATACACTAGGATTTTGATCAAAAATTCACAAGAAAAAATTTCTTCGTTTTACGAATTTGATGGCGATAAATACGCGAGTCTAGAAATTCATTTCAGCCAATTGAACCTTCTCAAACAATAAAAAACATCCCCTGGATAAGCTTCGCGGCCAGGCGGTCTTCGTAATAGAAGAGACATTTGACGATAAGCTTGGGCTTGTTTGGAGGGATCATCATAAATTATTAAAGTGTGTTGTTTACGGTACATAAAATATTCAGCCAAAGCAGCTCCTGTATAAGGAGCGAGGTATTGTAATGTAGCAGGGGAAGCTGCCGTTTCGGCTACCACAATAGTGTATTCCATGGCCCCTTTTTCCTGTAAATTAGTTACTACCTGCGCGACAGAAGATGCTTTTTGCCCAATAGCTACATAAACACATTGAATTTTGAATTAATTTTGAAAGAATTAATTTTGAATTGTTAAATTAACAAGGCATTTTGCCTTGTTAATTTAATAATTCAAATAATAGAAATTAAATACGAGATTCAGGCGATTGCGGATGATATAACTAGTAAATATGTTCCGCCCCATGTCAATATATTTTATTGTTTAGGGGGTGGTTTTTTCCAATCGTTTTAATTTTTTGGTTTTGGAAAAAGGTAACAAAGATAAAATACGAGCTTGTTTTATAGCAATAGTAATTAATCGTTGTTGTTTCAAGGTCAATCTATTCACCCGCCTAGATAATATTTTTCCTTGTTGACTAATAAATCGAATAAGTAATTTCAGGTTTCTATAATCAATTCGCTCCCCTGATTTAATCTGGGGCAAACTCACGAATATTCTACTATAACGGGTATTCAAGAATCGGTCCACGAAATTTTAATGAATTTGAAA